AGGAACCAAAATTTGGGGTGCTTGCCGATCTATCAAAAACGGAACTCCTGGTGTATCAAAAACGAAACTTTTGCGTCAAAAACAGACTTTATAATCACGGGATTACTCGAACTTTAAAAAAATATAATAAACATGTTTAGTTCTTAATTGCGCCGCTGCAATATTCGGCCAGTGTATTCGAGTTAAAATTTATTGGCATACATTACTATTACTGTAAACATTTCAATTATGAGGGCAGCTATTGCAAGCATTCTCTTTCTTTTCTTTTTCACTTGTCCAGTAGTAGTACCTCTTTCCATTTGCTTTTCTCGCTCACTGTTTCCCCTGGTCCCCATAATCCCTTCATCGATGTTTATGGTCAAGACGACCAAGAACTACTTTGAATAATAGCTGGTTCGCATCGAATAACTGCGCGTGTAAAAATGCATATCATTAACATATAAATTAGGTGTGGCGCTTATCAATATCAGGACCCTGAAATTCGGGTGGCTCGTGTTCCTGGCCCGTATCTAATTTCGAACACTTTTCCACCTCATTATGATGCATCCCATTTCCTCCTATTCGGTACATAAAAATCATGATCCACCTCCTATGAACGTTTGGGTGGTCGTAACAGCACCAGTTAGAATAGACCTGGCTGGAGGTGAGGAGGGTGGGCAACGATAATGTTTAAGTTTGGAGCAAACATCGATCGATCATCAATGCGTATGTTATAGGCTGGTCTGATACTCCCCCAATTGCTTATGAACATGGAGGGAAAGTTGTAAATTTGGCTGTAAAGGTATATTAAATTTGATTAGAAATGTGTTTGTCGCGATAGGAAAGATGACTACTGTAAGCGGATAAGAATAATTGATATACATGTTGTGCTATTCGGTAGATTGACGGCAAGGTTGGTCAATATATCGCAAATCATCTTGAACAGCGCGAAAACGAAAGTGACCATACTAACTCGAGACAAATTCAAAGCGACCTCTATGCACAAAAGCACGACGTATACCAAGGTGACTATTCCGTCTCCGAAAACCCCGATCTATTATCTTCACGTACCGAATTCCTAACTGTCACATTCGCTTGCTTTTCCTCACCTCCTCCAAAAAAAGTCGCAAAATTATCCTGACAACATCGGGGTTGTCTTCCTATAAATCCCAAACAATAACATTTCTTTCTGAAATCCTAACATATTCGGAACCGACAACCCCCTTTGCGCTGCTTAAAGCATGTTTGCTCTGTTCAGAAGTAATTTGTGAAACGGGAGATTTGAACGAACAACTAGAGAAGTTTGGAGGAGGTGTCGAGATTATGGCTAGATCAGATGTGCCGCAAGGAAGTGGTAGGTTCAAGAAGAGAGTAGTTAACTTCATCAAGATAATGTAGTCGAAATGTTTAATGCCTACACGTAATTATCAATAGGTTTAGGAGTGAGCAGCATTCTCGCTGGCACGCTATTAATAGCTCTGGCTGCATTACGCGGCGAAGTATACGATTCCGAAAGTCTAGTCTACGCTGTGTTGAAAGTGGAACAGATGATGACGACCGGTAAGTAAATAAGCCCGTGTCTCAATGTAGAAAGTTAGCAAGTAACTGACACGCTTAGGCTGATCATTTCGTTTTCTCTTTTTCTTGTATCAAAACATAACGACAGGTGGTGGATGGCAAGGTATATATAAGGAATGGCATAAGGATTAAAGTGCAACAATATATGACAATCAATCATTTGCTTAGATCAAGTCGGAGGATTGATCCCTGGAATCAAATATGGTTATTCAGAAGCTAAAGTTCCTTTGACAGTAAGTTCATCCGAATGGTTGCATGTGCTTTTGACATCCTATGCAAAGATAAGAAGCTGACCTCCTTTTTTCACAGGTATCGTGGACCCAAATTCCAATATCGCCGTCATTTTTACAATCATTCGAATCGCGGTCGGTGTTGATATACACAGGGAGAAGTCGCCTAGCGAAGAATTTATTGAATACCGTGATCGAGAGATGGAGAGTCAGAGATGCAGAGTTGGTGAAGGTTTTCGATCAATTGACTAGTGAGGCAGAAAATGTTGTCGAAGGACTGAGAAGTGGTAAGTGTCGGTAATTGTGCAGCCGGATTAATAGTATGTGAAAGAGTCTAAAATGTTTGTTACATTCTCATTACATTTCTCATTCCTCCTAGAATCCCTCACAAAAATCGGCACATATCTCTCATCGTACAATTCCTTCAAACACTTTCTTTCTTCTCCAAATAACGAACCGCCGACTATCCCAGCACTCCTGACGTTCCTTCACCCTCTTAGTCATGGTCTTGCCTTGTGTGGCGCAGGGGGAGGGGGATTTTTATTTGCTTTATTAAAAGAGGGTATCGGAATAGAAGACGTTCAAGAGATCGTTAAGCGAGTTGAGAATGATATTAAAGGGGATGAGTGCATGGAAAATGTCGACATGAACGTAAATAGAGTAGAAATAGATTTTGATGAAGTAATTGCAAAGTGGGAACAATAGGAACGCGTTCCGGATCCGCGGTTCTTTGATATGACATTATTAATCGTTTAGAGTAATTCCTATCAATAGTAGAATTGTTTACATGCCGAAGGTCGCAATGAAACAAATTGACTTTTTTTAACCGCACATATAAAGGGATTCATCATAGCGATTTATATAGTAATTATTGCACTACTCGTCGGACCAAACTTCACAGATATTAATAAGCAATTTGTGAATGTTGGATCGTGAGAGTATTATGCATGTTTTAGTATGTGTTGGAATGACACCTGGATAAACTCTCATCCAAATTCAGAATGATCTACAAATCATCACGTAACAATTATCCGCGTTGTCATCATGGCTCGCGTTGTAACCTCGACATAACCATATTCCACAGCAATGAGAAAACGATTGAGAAAAAGTTATCAAACTTGAAGCGATTGATTACGCAAATGTATAGGAAACAGAGCAACCGCACGAATGTTCGGTGTCACACACAAATAGCCCGATATTAAAAACCATCATATCCGCTAGCGGAGAATGCTTTAAAGGAATGGATCGTTGATTTACGCAATAGAAGATTAGGAGTCACACCAAATCTAAGATGATGGAATTGCTCCCAGCGAACAACGCCGGAATGCTGCCCAAGAAGTTAAAGCATCTGGACAGAAATTACCCCAAGATGTACAGCAAAAAGTTATTCGTAGTTGTATTATCAACCTCGATGAAACGCCTATCTTTTTCGACATGGTAGGAACGATGACTGTTGATTATAGAGGAGCAAAAACAGAACAACAGGCAACGATTTTTTCGCACGAAACTTCCTCCTGTGTTCATATTTAAGGGTAGAAGACTACCGAAGGGAGATTACCCATTAGACGTAAGAATGAGGATGGGTGGATGTGACGGAAGAATTAATGATGGATTGGTTGGGAACAAAATGGTATAGAATGTGGTCCCTCGTTTAGAGGACATCTAGCCCAATCTGTAAAAGTAAATGTGAAGAACAAAATCTTGTGTTAGCCGTTATTCCAGGTGGGCTTTATTTCATTAGTTCAACCACCGTTTAAATAGACATCTCAGAATTTTATATTCTGTCAGGGCTTCATAAAGTTGTCGAACAATATACACCAGTGATGGCAGTGCCGAAAACTTGAAAGAACTCGAGCTTCCTGTTTCGGAGGCTGACTTTGATAATGCTTTCCCGAATATGTTAACGAAGCGGTTCTTGGATAAAAAACATATTAAGATGGACGTGTAGGTAGGGCGGACGACATTCACAAAGAGTTAGAGTCATTGCTGAAGGGACTAAAGCGCTATCCAACCGTACTATTTACCGCTGGATTGAAGCATTCGAAGCCGGACAATCAAGCATCGAATAAAGAGAACTATCCTAATAGCAACGTAGCCCTACTCCGGCTATCATATGCAGAACCAGTTCGGATACTGTCGAATTGTCTCCCTTGATCTCGCGTACTATTTATTAGCTACTGCAAACATATGGTATAATAATCTCAATGGTAAAGAAGACAACTTAACATGAGAGGAAGACACTGGAGCGGGGGATGAACCAGCTATAGTTTTACTAGAGGAAGAATGGAATAAAGTAATATAAAATATAGAATATGCTTTGTATCAAAATTCCTATCGTATTAAGCAAACAATGGTAGAATATACGCCGCGTCACTCCCCGGAGTGTTTCTTCTTCTTGTTTAGATAACCTTACATTCTTACAAAATAAACTATATTTGCACACAAAGTCGAATTAATTGATTCGTCCGAGTAGCCTTCTCTGAGCTTAAGAAGAATAAATCTTTAAGATCGCCGTTCATATTCAGGGATTCCCTTAATTGGTAATCATAGAAAAACAAAGACCCTTTACTCGACCCGACAAGCTTAATAATGGAGTCCGCAATAGACTCTGTTCTCGAAGGGTTGTAAGTGGTGTTTGATAGTTAGTCCCAACTAGTCTGTGTGACTTTTGTCTTTCTGAAGGAGCCTAAACTGAGGTTGCTCTTATAGATCGAAAGCAGAAAACGTTAAAGGTGTCTTAGTTGCTGACGGAAACGGTCTTTGCATCGGAGGTATGTCTTGGCAACGTAATTTCAAACGTCGACCCGATCTTTAGTGATACTTTGACACTGTATGTTTGCAATATAGCAAGAGGAATAGCAAACCCAAACTTAGCTGGGTATGTTGTAGCCGTCGCTGAACAGGCTAAAGACCTTGCCGATGCGTCGTCTGAACTGCCGGTTGTTAAGATAGAATCCGAAACTGCGTAAGTATGCATACGCGATTCCATTACTGATGGATTGGAAGTTGAGCATATATCCAACTAATGACCATATTTAAACAATAAAGCACAATAATGATCAAAGGAAACGACAAGTATATTATTGCAATATTTAAGTGACAATTCTGATAACCGTCTCGAGCACTTGTAAACTATATTTAATATTGAGATAAATGAATACCGCATCACGAAATACTCGGTAGGACATCTTGGTACTTTGGAATTATGGGACGTTCTGGGGTGGGGCAAGCGTAGGTACGATATTATGGCGTGAAGCATTCGCGTCGATAAAATGAAACATTTAAGTTATAAGTAATAAATATGGGTTATCCAAACCGTTTGTTCATTTGATTACCATCTGTTGGCAATCAACGAAGCACCATGCGTTTCAGAACTAACAGGCTAATTTCGGAATATCATTCAAGAGTATTAGATACTTTAACAGTGCAACTATTTTCAATAATTGAGCAATGGTGGAAATGGTCTTCCTGTATGATTGCTTCCGTTGGATATACATACGGAGTTGAATGGGGGAACTGTGTTGATTTTTGGCAATAGTCTTTCTCTTTTAAGATCGCGCTATCTTCCAAGACAATTTTATTGTTTGTAAGAAGAGTAAAGGGATGTCCGTTCAAGTCTGCTTGTAATTTTAAATCCTTGTTTCCTTTCATATTGTTATGTAGTCCTCCAAATCCCGAGTTTGCTAACAATAACTTTCATCTTATTTTAAATAGTTGAGAATTTCTTCCTAGAATTCTTAATGAAAATGAATCCTTCAAAGGATGAGTTTCAGTCTGCTTGGGTTTGCAATATCGACTTCTATGACATTCTTAATGCTTCTATGCTTAAGAATAATATCAGAAATCTCAGAGTCTGACCAATTCATTCTATAAATTTTAAAACAATGCTAATATGGGGAATGCTGCAACAACACATTTTATTCTTTTATCCTTGTCTTGAGACGATAGCTATTTGTTTCGAGTCCGTATTTGTCATCGTCAAAAGCGATAGCTATAGCTGATGAGCCTAATTACCCAATTTCAAACAACCCGACTTTTGTGAGCATGATTTTTGGTTTTCTTTTCTCTACCAAGCGATGTACTCGGATCCAAAGGCAATTTATCGACTCTGGTACATTTTCACATTTTCGACACGTATATAACTGTTAACAATCACGTGCAATCCTCCTTCACCAGGATGTTTCAAAATGAGGACATAGTCACATATTACAAGAAAACATGTATTGATACTCTTAAATAGTCGCGCGAACTTGGGTTTGCTTGCAACGCATGTCTTTATGATTCGCTAAAAAGTGAATAGTTATTTTATGTTGGTTTATTATCTAATCTATTTTTCCCTATCTGGCCCAATCGCGTGTTAGAGATTAAAACAACGGAATTTTAGAGAATCAAATATCTTTCCGAAGGCTTACTGATAGGGTTAGGATCCCTCTTGGGTAATATATTCATTAATGTAATTATTATTATCTGACTACATATCAGGTAATCAATAATAATAAAGCAGGTAGTAAAGTTCAATGCATTTTTTCTAATCAGACCTTCGACGAGTGTGTTTAAAAGTTTGTTAATTTGTCGACATGCATTCTAAGCCATTCAACACACAATCAGGTTATGATGTATCAAATTTTGTAAAGTTGAAATTTATGCTGGTTTCTATATATACTGACTATTTGCCTTCATTCTTGTTAAATATATATTCTCTGAGAAAGGTAGAACTCAGTTTTAGATTCTTTAAGTCTTCGTCCTTCAGCGTAGTGCTTGTTGATGAGATCACCTCAATGACAGCAAATTCAAGTGGAGGAAGTGCATTGAGAGCGCGCTCTTTGTTGACTATTATAATAGAGGAACATTTATTGTATTGTAAGATAATGTGACGCGATGATAACACGCTAATAATACATATATCCGAATTACACATACTTAAATTAGCTCCCTCTAGTGTCTCTTTAGACACTACCAATGCTTCTATTTCTGGATCCGTAGCTGTTGGGCCATAGATGTCATATATTGGAACCACCTGTATAAGGTACAATTATATTACGTATTGCGATATTATATGATATATTATACATACGGGATGGTCAATTGGCCGTCCAGAATTAGTCTGTATCTTACCTCATATGTAAGCCCTCTTTTTATTTTATTTAGGAACTTTTGTACGTTTTCGATCCGCGTATCAAGTGACTCCATGACTTCCCTGTATTTCTTGTTAGTTAGCATATTCTCTCCTGAGACCGATAAAACCAACATTAGATAAAACGTTTGATAACGTCGACGATCTACTCAGCTGTGCTCACCCGTTACTCCACATATGAGTTTCTTCTTTGTAATCCATACGCTCATGGTCAATAATATTTTATGTCCCGAATGCAAGTGATCAAATGTCCCGCCGACTGCTACAACGTTATACGTTTTGGTAGCAACGCTTCTTTGATCAATATTTATCACTTGCGTGTGTACAGGTGAACAAGCGATTAAATGGATTGGAATTTCAGGAAGGAATGACTGTTTTCGACGCATGTTAATGTTTAATAGATAGTTCTGATCTAGTGTGTAAAACTAGCGTTATACGCAACAATAAAGTCAAGGATATCGAATTGACTCTGCAGAGATGACAGCGAGACAGCTTACCCTCCATGTGCCCAAATAACACTTCGTATGTATCGTCAATTCCGACATCATATCCACACCATCCGCCAAATACGATATTTAGATCAAATAATGTTTTGTCAATTTCATTGCAGTATTTAGCTGCCTCTACATACAACGTCGACAACAAGTCATGTATTGGTGTCCATGTATTTCGATATTCGTCAATATCTAGAATATCTATCACAAGAGTAAGGGAATCTGTTGTCTGCTGGATAGCGGTTTTGATTAGACAAAGATGCTGATATGTTATTGATGCCAACGATGTCAGCGAGAAATATAATAATGCGGAGGAATGGGATTTATTAATCATTCTGATAAATCAACAAGACTAATGACAATTTATTGACCTGATAACTGTATTAATATATACGAAATATTAATATGCTTACTCTAATTGTATGTGACACAGAACCGCTTCTATACAAGCTAGTTTTTGGAATGAGTGGCACTCGGTTAGGTAGAACGAGCAATGATGTGATATGCAACTATCAATTGAGGGAAGACAGGTCCACATGTCAGATATACCGTAGGGCGTTGTTATAAGAGGAAATCTATTGGGACAACCTAAAGTTCCCGTTTGTACATATTTTAGAGCGCATTAGTATTGGCTGACGAAATACAGTTTTTTGACATTTGGTTGCAAGTCTGCCAGGATAAAGTCTTTCCGCGAAGAAAATAATATATGCTTGCGGTGAAATATAACGATGCTGTGACTGCTATTTACATAATCTATCGCAAACTGCCGATACCGCCACTTCATCGCACCACATCCTGCATTAAGTACAGTACATATTAATATGGGCAACAGAGATGTCTGGGATAAAAAAGGGGTTTCATACGGTTTACTAATTGATCAGCAATACTAATAGCATAGCTAGTACTATTCAAAGGTAGAATGTAGCTCTAATAACCCTCTTTCTTTATTGAACCTCTGTAATAGCACCTCTGATTTGCGTTAAAATTTTGTATACTCGAATCTGATTGGGTTCGATAATCTTGGAGAATTCCTGTTACTAGGAACTGGAAACTAGAGCAGAGACTTGCTTTATCTATTCGATTCTCTTGCCAACGAATTCACAAAAGTCATTATTATTGGAGCATGGCTGTTTGACCACTCTGAACGGGAAATTGAAGCCAAAACTAGCTATGCCACAATACCGAATACATGACACAATAAATAGAAAGATATTGTGAGACTGGTGGTGGAACATCCCGTCCACGTAGTGGATTTGATAGGGACAAGTGACATTTTGTAAGGATTGTTCAGTCCAATCGTCAACAATCTGCAAACAATGACTTTGTCCAGTCATCTGGAATTGTTCAACAGTTAGAAGAGCTTTGTATGAAGCAGGTTATCATAGTGTAAATAGCCGTTTGGTTATTATTTGATTGGTCGCACTAGAGTGATGAATTCGAATGGTGATATAAAAATTCATTATACATAGTCAACCTCGTTAATCCGAATTCCTCGTTAATCCAAAGAAATATTCTGGTCCCGATTTATTAATAAGACATTTACCTCGTTTATCCGAATTTTTATAATAAATCTCTGTAATCCGCAATCCGAAGGCAGTTGTGAAAAACTTTTGTCATATAAAAATTCCTCGTTAACCCGAAAAATCTCATCAACTTATAAAGCTTAACTCTCTCTCTGAATTTATTTTTCCATAATGAACCGTAAGCCAAAAGACAAAAGAAAGAATTGAAGATTGCCGAGATAGATAATCATTTACTTGGAAAAACTGAGAGAATACCGATTGATGAAGACGCTATAGAAATTGTCACAGGCATTGAAACACCAGAGCCGTGTGAAGAATACGAGGATGAAAGCCCAGTTTCGCTTGCATTAGCCAATGAAAGCATCGACAACAAAATTCGACATCAATCACCGTCTTGTAGTCGATCTTAGAGAATGACTAAAGTACTTGAAATACAAAGTAAGCGACAATTACATCTCGACAGTTTTTTCGCACCTCAAAGTGAGACGACATAATCAGATATTAGCAGTAGAACCATTTTGTGTACGTTGTGATAATAATAACTAAACAATAATAAAGACTTAAGTTGTAAACCGAATAATTATTGAATCCAATAGCAAATTCGGATTATTGAGAACAAACCTCGTTAATCCGAAGATGCCGTTAATCCGAACTTACCCGTCCGTTGACTTCGGATTAACGAGGTTGACTATGTATAAACGACCTTTCCCCCAGGCGGAAAAAGCAAGTTGTTACTGCTGAAGATAAAACGTGGAACTACTTCCCTGGGTGGCTTCATCTCTTGTAATAATAAAATATTAATATACGTTATTTATTATTGGAAATGTTATTGTATTGTATTATTTTGTTCTCTCCGATACTTTGATGTAAGAATTCCCTAGTGACTAATACGGCATGTTACGGATAATTATTTTGTTATAAATCATGCGATTAATAAGCAGGGCATGAGAAGTATTCGGCTATTATATTATTCTCTGAATCGACACTTTGCATATAAGTTCTTCGCGATTTAGACATACATGTAAATCTGATGACCTTAATTCCATTGGGATGAGCTTGAATGACGTATCAGACAACGATCCACCACCAACATCTGAATGGAAGAAATCCCGAACTAGAACACCATATTTCAAAATCTAATTTTAAGCATGAAACGTAGAGTAAACGCAGTTAGACGTGCTGAAGTCATGCAAATAAATTTTTTGTTATATTTTGCTTCATAACTGCGCTTGAATACTATTCTGCTTGCTGCATTTTTACATATAATTTTAACTAAGCAAGATAACAGTGTGAAATTTTTTGTATTTGATTAAGACTTTCAAATGCTTTCAAATGAATATCAATTTGTATGGTGTCGTAACATACTGTACCTTTTTTTGTTATTGTGCTTTTTTAAACGTTTGGGTTGCGAAACATAATTTGTCGATTTTCGGTTAGATAAATTCAGGCAAGCAAACTTGAAATCTTACATATTAACGTGCAATAAAATTTTGCAGGAATGTAGGTCAGAACAAGCGCAAATAATGGATGTTTGCTATAGTAATAGCGTTATGCGCGATCGAAAAAAAATTTAAGGGATGGTCGGAAACTTTTGAGTAGGCAGACAACAGTCGATCAAAAGTTCATGGCATACCTATTCCTAGAAAGAGAAAGATTGTTGATGATGTTGGTCCTGTATGTGATGAAGTACTATATATTTCCTATATATCATTATTTGCTGGTTTATCGCAATCCAGTTTAAGCCAGATTCATCAGAATCAACAACAGCTTTGAAATTGGGTTTATAATGGCTCCACTGAATATAAAAAAGCCTTACTGTTCTTGGAGATAGGCTGCAATTGTAAAATAATTCAGAGAGAAAATTTTGCTGAATTACGCGAGGTAGATATTTTTTTAATGCCCAGCTAAAAGCAATAATTGGCCGGCCAGTTAAAAAGAAAACGCGTAATAATAAAAAAAAAACTTTTTATTATTGCGATTGCAATACGCTACTTTGTCAGAAAACGTATCTCAATATGTCGGACTTACTTCGAAAATGCCAGAAATTGCCTAGCAACTAATGGTATAATATCGCGCGTTTATAGTGAAAATGCCGCGATGGAAAACCAAATACCGTTGCTACTGTCGTGAAGAATTTTCTCGAAACCTATGCTAAAATTCATGGACTACCAAGTCCTGGTAGAAATGTCAACCGCATTGCTCAATCTTGCCAGCCGAAACTAGTTACAAATCAGTCTATCGTGATTTTATTGCAGGTCTCGAAAACGATAGCACGTTGAAATTGTTAAAATATGATGCATTCCGCAAGTTATGACACCAATTAGCGAATTATGAGTCAAGAACCGATTTATGTGATACGTGTCAACATTTCGGAATGGCTTACAGTATAATGCTCTCAAGAAAAAAAAGAAAGGCTTAACTGAAAAAAATACAAAAACATTTGATTAAGACTAAATTAGAGAAACTATTACAAAATTAGTAGACGATAATTATTGATGGGAGATAAAGTTGATTATTGTAGCATTGACGCGACAAAGATTTAAGTGATGGTTGGTAGTATTAATAAAAAAACGCGAAAATTGAACTTCCGTCTTCATGACATCTTGAATTATTATTCGAACGAAAACACAATCCTTTTACTTTATGCTTTAAGCTTATCGACACGAAATTGTCTTGTTCTTGCATAGAGGTACAGCGGACCGAATTGTCCTATGTGAACGGCGAAATGCGAAATAATCATTTTCTTTTACTGTGTTCGATTTATTTAGATCATTTCGCAACTCTAAGTCCAAATTATTATTTTTATTGGATTATTTATTACTGCACCAGTTAGAAATTAGTTACAAAAACGACCTTTGTTCCAAGCTGAAAGTCCAGCTTTGCTCAGTAGTTTCATACTTGAAGAATTCATGCTCACAAAAATGAGTTTCTAATTCTTGTTCCGAAATAAATATCTAATTACCGATGAAATGAAACCCAACCGTTTGGGGTATGATCGTAATCCTATATACAATGAACGCCTAAACAATTTAATTATCGCAATTATGATCGCGCGATTATTCTTAAATTAGCTGTTTCAGAGATAGAGAACTACTCATTTATTAGAAATGTTTATAATAATAAAGGAATCGAAAGTAATTGAACACACACGCACACGCGCTCAAAATTTCAAGATTATTGGAAATGCTTTCGAGAGTCTAACTTATATCGAGACGGACGATTTCTTTCTTGTCAATACTAGGTCCTTGACTTGCTTTCGATTTTAAGTATTGGATAGATGGGACTGCAAAACACAACTTTGTCTTCTCATAAAGCTGTGAAAAGGTTACGGATGATTAGTTGAATATTCTTTGAAAATGGTATGAGATAGGTTTTTTTTGGCAGATGATCCTGCTAATTACGAGGCTGCTTGCTTGTAAGAAAATGAAGACTTGCACACATTTCAGACTTGTTAATGACATCAAATGGGAGTATTGTTATATTAGAAGACGATAACCCTAGCCCATCCTTATAACGATGAATTTTAAGTTTCATGAATTATTTCAACTGGAAACTGGTTGTTTGTAATGTCGCATGCCAATAATTTATACTATAATGTTGGGAGTACACAATATGCTGAAATTGAGTGTTTACATAAATATTGTTCTTACCGGTTGACAAAGTTGTGTGACATTTAGTGACATCCTCAACGGCTATATAATGCCATTGTAGTTCTATAACTTATTCAATTATCTATTATAATTACTGCATTTTGGGCATATCCCTAAAGACCCGCTGTATGATTTATGACACGCAAGGTTTGCGCTATGGCCGCAATTATGCCTAACCGGCACAGGCGTTCGGCAGGTGTCTGTGCACTGCGAATCACAAGCTGATTGGCACTACAGGTCGTTAAGTTTGAATTTTAATATAAATTTCAGTCTTTATGAACTGATTAAGTTACATACCTGGTGGCCACATTTCAGCAACTTTTCGCATTGTTCTCTACATATATATTGATAACGTTCGGCGCAAGGGATTGGTTTGTTGTGTCCACATGGTGGCTTTATGTTAACTGGACTCTTGCATGGCCCACAGGGATCTCTGCATTCTTTATTGCAGGGATGTCCACAAGGCAGAATGCGTATGCACGTCTCCTATATGATCAATGAGACGAAATGTTGTTAATATCGAAATTATTAATAAACTATTTTGATACTAGTATCTTACCCAGCATGGAACCATCTCATGAGAATATGTATGGCAATCTCGCGGACAAGGCTGTCAAATAAACGAATGTCAGAGGATAAACATAATAACGAATTTTCATATGCAAAAGTCTACTCACGTGCCCGCACTCCATGAGCTTCCCACACTTTTGATTGCATCCACCTTCAGCCGGGAAATCAGAGTTCCAGGCAATTGTAGTTTTAACGTATATTGGTGGATCGTCGTTGGGTCTTGAATGTTGTTTGCACCACAATTCTAGCGTCTCACTATAAGAATCATTGCGATTCAATATCCTCATTATGCTTCTCCAAAGGTCCGAATAATCGACCAGTTTCTTCGCATTGCCGAATATATATAGGCCATGCCTTGCACGCGATAGGGCAACGCATACTATTCCAATGTATTTACATTAGCTATATTCACAGTACCTAACTACAAATCTTTCTAAAAATACGTACTTCTGTTGCTCACGTTCAAGAATCCGATGCCCTTGGACTCGCTGCTTCGGACCAATGACAGAATAATAATATCATTTTCTTCCCCTTGAAAACCATCTACGGAAGATACTTGGATATTCTTTATTTCCTCGAGCGAAGTAGAGCTCTCTTCTTTCAATAATCGCTCTATTCTCTTTCTCTGTGCCGTGTACATACTCAGAATTGTGCTAATAAAAGACAAAATAAGTTGTCAAGTCTAGCACAGAAAATAAACAAGTGAAATGACGCGTGCATCTTACATTCTTTTAATATCATATCCGACTTTCACTAGGTAGGCCGCGAACCTTGCACACATGGATGCCTCAAAATCGTTAATCTTGCTCATGCCATCCCTCGAACTACTTTCGTCGTTTTGATGGTCAAAGAATAAGAGATTCTTCATTACACCCTCAACGTTAGGATAGTTTTTGACTTCTTCGGCGTCCATAATGGCACCATGACCGTCTTTGTCATAAATGGGCGTCAACAGCCTGCGTATCTCTGGTCGCATCCTTCGCTGCTCAGTGAGTCTTGTGAATGGCATAAAACGAATCAGACGTTCAAATAGTGACAAGTCCAGGCCCTATATAGAACGTTTTAAAATACAATTTTGTTGGCCTAAGTATAGTGAAATATTATATAAATGCTGTTTGAGCACAAAAGTCATGGCAAACAAATTCTTACATGTATTTGGGCCAACTCATGTACGGCTAAACGCGGACGCAGCTGTTCATGATCACTAAAGAACAGAATCTCTCAGTTATCAAATCAATCTTAGAGTCGCGAAAAATAAAATGTACTAGTCCATACCCAATCAATATCAAATGTTCTGTCGAAGGAGTAAGAGCAGTAACAATGTGTGCTTCTAATGCTTCTGCTGCTTCCTCTATAACAATGATCTTTGATTTCAAATGTATTAAAAGGTCGTGATATTTTGCCTAGCAATAAGAAATCACACAAGTTACATTGACATTAGAACACTGCAAAAATTGGAGGCGTAATACATCAGTAGACCAACTACTTACCGCCGCTGTGGTGGTCATACCAACTACTTTGGCCGTCTGCAACATAGCTAAATCTTCCCTGATTCTTTGATACTTCAGCTTTGCACAAATCTTTGTGTATTCAAGATTAAGTTTGTGTAACTCGTCCTGTCTCTCCTGTAAAAGCTCCCGCCTCCATGAATTATGTATAGCCGCGCGAACGTGTACCGGTATCTCCCACAAATCTTCACATTCCATATACTTTTGTATTTCATATTCACTGACGTATGTGCTAGAAGATACGCACTCGTTGCTTCTGAGTACTATGTGCTCGCCTTTAGTCAGTAAGCCACCCTCGTTAGCTTGGAATTCTGCAACAATCTCGTCAATTTCTTCCTCGTCCACTTCCGTAATGTCATCCTTATCTTCACCAGTAACATACAAGGCGGCCATTTCAGTTTCAATCTTATTATGTGCAGATGCCGTCGTTTCCAGCGCTTGTTCGAGCCATTCACGCAGATAATCCTTCTCGCCCTTATCGTAACGGCTACTTGACGTTACCCAGTCATCCTCTTCTAGGCTTGCTAGCTGTTTATCGCTTAACAACCCGTGTTCTTTTACGTAGCTAATTGGGAGGCAGGGCTTTGTAATGTCTTCACAAAGGTTTTGGATTTTATTTACCAATTGGTTGCGGTCTCGAATTAGGCGATTAAATTCTGGGTTACGAAGCCTTTCTCTTTCGTCCCGTTTAACGTTGTACAATGTTTTAGGTAAGATTTTTTCGCTTTTTGAGCGAGATCCTAGTCGAATAATCTTATCCTCAAAGTTCATAATTTCTAATAGTGAAACAACCAACGTTAAACAAAGTCATACAAAAATAAGCCTATTATAAATTACTCACCTTCTAAGAACTGGTCTAAGGCATGGTTAGTCTGGCATGAAATTATAATCGGTCCTCCTACGTTTTCCAAAAGAATTCGTACAGCTGCAAGTCCAACATACTATAAAAAATTCAAACAAATTAAATAATCGGGACTACCAGGAAGACTACAAAAACTTCCAAATTACCGTTTTCCCTGTTCCAGGAGGCCCCTGAACCAAAGATAACTGTTTAGTCAGCATTCTCTGCAAAGCCTCGTATTGTGACGAGTGAAGTGTGCTTCCAAAGTCTTGAATGGATGGCCATTCCTTGTTTACATCAATCTGATAAACAATCAAATGCATGTCAGTTTTTCTTTTCCATAATCTGGCACATTTCTAATATGTCGAGAACTTACTCTGCTGTATCCTAAAATTTCCTTCATATCCTCGAATGGTTTTGCGACTCCCAAGTCATACAATCCCACATGTTTTTCCAGATATCCCGGCCTGTCAATATTGTCATCCAAGTCAATAAGTTGCGGCTTAAATGGCATCGTATCCGGATCCAGCTCCTGCAGAACCGTGAGAACATGTCGATACGCTGTGATAAAGAGCACTCTCAATGAGTATCTTGAGCGGAAGGTCTGTATTGCCATTCAAATTTACATTACCTTCAAAGTACGTAGAAGTAGCCTCCACCTGCAAACGTAATAAATTTTTTTTTTTATTTATTAAGATACTTTTCATCCAACAAATATGATAACACCAACCATTATATAATCCTCAGTCCAAAAGAATTCAGTGTCTTCTTCACGAAAAAGAATATCAATTTGTAAATCGAATTTATCTGCTAACAATTCGTCAGCCCGACTTATAACCACGCCAAACTTCATAGTGTCAAAGTTATCCTTGGTAAGGACAACAAACGTTCCTGGTATCAGGCGCTTACTCTGTTTCCTGCCGGATTATAATATAGAGTACATGAAGAATTGCGTCTGTGTAGTAAGCATTCGTCAATAAAAACGGGCTTTACCATCTTACTGCAACGCCGTGCGGTAGTCGAAATCCCACTCGTAGCACAATCCCCGCGAGCGCACAGGTCACTCCAACAAGATGTACCTAAGAGAATGCAATCCATTTTTGGTAAATGCAGTTTCTTTCAGTAATAAACCCAATACATACTTTTTCATATATCCTCATATCCGTGTCATCGATTCTGTACTTTCCCGACCGGTACATTCTTATGCCTTCCCTGAGTGGCCTAACACAGTCTTCTTTTAATAGTTTAAAATGCGTAACGAGATAACTCTCCACGTTTTCATAGGGTAAATCAGCATCATTATACGGAAGATCTTCAGGCGTTTCTCCAAGAAGGTCCTCTTTCGTTGGCATGACCGAAACTTTACGAAATCCTTCTTTCTTCGGCTTTACAATTTCTTCCAAGTCGGGTAAACGAATTCTTCTTGGTCTTTCACTTCCCTCAGCACTCATGTTACCGCCGCGACCTCGCCCGCCCCGACCTCTTCCACGACCTCTTCCGCGCCTGTCTCTCGAAGGCTGCTTGAGCCATTCTGGTTCATCTCTCGATGACTGTTCGAACCATTCAGGTTCATCTCTTGAAAGCCGTTTAAACCATTCAGGTTCATCGTCCGTTTGTCCTCCCGTTCGAACTGAGGACCGTGCTGGTTCAACCGGATATTCGTTTGGACGGTATGGATTATTCCATGCGCCAGCGGGGGAGGCTTGCCTGTTATTACTTGTTGTCCATTTGTTAGTCGCATCATTCCATGCACCAGCGGGAGAGGCTTGCATCTTGTTATTGCTTGCCCATTCGTTACTCGTAGAATTGGGAGTGGGCCATTTGTCAGCCGTAGCATGGGAAGTGGGCCATTCGTCAGTCATAGCATGGTCAGTGCCCCATGTGTCCCTTTGTCGTGGCTGTTCGTTATCATTTGTTCGCATGAAAGTCGAGCCTGTACGGCTCTGCGATTCCTGAAAGGGTTCCCGATAATGATCTGGTCTCGGGCCTTTCTTCTTGCGTGTCATTCTGTTCGTGAGAATAAGGGTTTAGAGCGTTAGGAAATGCTGAAATAGATTATATAAAGACGAGAGATCGATTAGTCTATATATAGACAACAATGGTCTAGGAAATTTTTTTTTTTCAACCGATGGCATGAAATCATGTGACAATAATCTAATGCAATCTTTCCCGATAAACCTCAAAAATTTTCTAGCCAAAGAATAATGCTACGAGGCTCGCGAATAGCTTCCCGTTGCGTCACTGGACCCTTGCCAGGGTCCTCAGCTGTGTCTTTGCCTATAAAAGGTGTCTACATACGAACGTATAAGGTACATAAGACTTTTCTTGTCCATGAACTTTTATTGCGTGTCCGACAGAAAATGTCCGCTGATTCAAAATAGCATATCATCAATGATTTTGAATAAACAGACATCATTGAATGTGAAAAATTCAAAAGCTTCCAAGGAAGCCACTAAACAATCCTCAGGAGAACCTTCCAAGAAAGACATTAAGCAACCCGCAGGAAAAGCTTCCAGGGAATCTGTTCAGAAAAATTCGACGGAAACGGTTAAGAAACATTCGCAAGAGTCTCCCAATGAAGCTGGAGAGAGTGCAGGGACAAGGAAGAAAGGATTTGGACGATTTGCAAAGGTCGTGTTGGCAGTTACTGTGTTAAGTACTACTGCTTATGGAGGAGCAGTGTACTACTCCCTGCGCGACGATAAATTTCGCAGACATTTTACAAGCAGTATACCTGGGGCGGATCGTGCTGTCGGTTATGTAGAAACACTAGACAAAGAAGGAAATTGGAATAAATTAAGTAATGACGTGGTACGGTATAGTAGAGAAAAGTATAATGACTTTGTTAGCAAGATTACCGGTCAGAGTTCTCCTGTTATAAAGAAGGATACAAACGAAGATCGGATGCCAGCACCTCAAACGGTCCAGAAAGTTTCAGCTACGGAACCTATTATTGAGCATTTATCTAGAATTATCAACGAACTTGCTGATATATTAAGTAATGAGGGGCTCAGTGAAGCAGGGAGCCAAATTATATCTAAAGCAAGAGAAGAATTGAACACACTCGATGAGGACATTAAGCGGATCAAAAACGATGGACAAACTTTGCTAAAGAGACAGTTGAACGATCAAACTGAAAAGTTCAATAAATTATTAGAATCCAATGAGAAAGCAATGAGTGATTATATCCAGGATATGGAAATTCGTATAAAGGATCAGTATGAAAAGGAAAAAATTCAAATACAATCAGAGGCTCAGAAGGTTTTGACGACAGAATTGTCTCAGCAAGCAGTTAAACATATGGAACGGCTTAAAGATGAACTTGTGAGGCAAGCAGCTGAATTACAACGTCGATGGATTCGTAGTGTTAGAGCTCAAGTTGAGAAGGAACGGGGGGGACGCTTAGCACGTCTTGATTATATTACCCTTCGATTGAAAACCCTCGAGAGGTTAGCAATGGATAATGTAGAACACCTGGACCACAGCCTTAAGGGCCATAAGTTATGGGTTGCAGTTTATGCTCTTCAGCAGACAGTTATGCAACCTCGTCGTACTCCATTTATTAATGAGTTATATACTCTAAAGAAGGTCGCTGGAGACGACGAACTAATAAATGTCGTTGTCGGATCTATTGACGAGACTGCTGCTCTTCATGGGATATGTTCTCTATCTGATCTCAGAAATAGATTCAAAGTTGTACGGGAAGAAATTAGGCGTGCATCCCTTGTTCCTGAGAATGGAGGGGTGTTTGCTCACGCATTGTCCCTTCTGCTAAGTAAGTTTATGTTTCGTAAAAACGGTCTTGTACCTGGAAATGATGTAGAGGCAATACTTGGGCGTGTAGGCTATTATCTTGGAGAAGGTGATTTAGATAGCGCGGCGAGGGAGTTGAATCAGTTGACAGGATGGTCGAAAGTTCTAGCGAATGACTGGATCGCAGCAGCAAGGAGTCATCTTGAAGTTAAGCAGGCGCTTCAGGTAATTGTTTAACCGTTATCTATATGTATGACAAGCCAGGGCATCTAATGAAACTGTAATGAGTTTTATAGTTCGTAACACATGTTAACGTAGCTATTTCTTTTCTGTAGGTGATTGAAACCCAGGCAACATTATCCAGTTTATCAGTTGTATAAGACGTCGTTGAGTATTACGATTGTTGCCCCAAAGATAATTGATGCTGCTGTAAAATGATACTAATAGAACCGATAAATATATATTATTTTTGCTTTCGTTGATATGACCACGAGCAAATATAAAGAATAACCAAATTAGTGGCTCTATTCCCAGATTTGTTGAATGGTCCATGCAGTATTAATTGTCGTTATGGATTCTGACGATACACTCGCTAGGAGGGTCTTTCTCTCTTCACTTGAGGATTGGGCCGAAACATTATTAAAGAGAATTAATCAGAGAGTAGGGAGAGCTGTTGCAGAAGTGCACATCTTTGCACACGGCTTGAATCGATGATTATGAAATGGTAGCTTTAGTAAAGAGTCTGTCGATTGGGAAATTGATTGGTGAGAATGCTATTCGTTATCATACCTAACTCAATAGGAACTGAAGGCTTGTCTTTATCGTTCTTGCTTTTGTGTACGCTATGTAATGTCTTATAACATTGTAGGTCTTTGATCTAGAGTTTGGAGTTTATTCACTTAACAAGCCGTAAAATCCGAAAGGGAATAAGTGAATAATATTAGCTTCCATGTAATTGAAATTGCGTCGGCTCGTGGAATTCGCTCTTCAAAAGTTACTATATGATTTAATTGCACGTAATTGTTGGTTCAATTTCCATGGCACATAATAATATACGTTGATGTAGAATAAGACTAATAAAAAGCCACGCCCATTGTTACTGATGAAACGTATGAGTATTAAAAAAACTATACGCGTTAGACAATTTCTTTGTCAAACGGGATACCAAAGAAAATAAAGACTCAATGCACAATACGATATGTATTAGTATAGTATCGATAAAATAATTACGTCATCTGTAACACCATGGGTTGTAACAGAATGACGTTCTCCGATTCATTTTTTGGATACTTTCCGTGTTCCTTCTCGCTCGTCCAAACTACGCAACGTAAACTTGGATAACCCAACGCAGAATCCGATCGTCATTAACGACGATAACATTGAAGGGGTTAAAGTGCAGCGGGACGCAAACGGAGACGTAAAGAGTAAGTTAGGTTGGATATCATACTTTTAATAAACACAATAGAGATTTTGTTTTGTGGTGGCATATGTATGAACGTTTTCAATCATGTTTGCTGATATATTATATGTAATCGTTCTTACTCTCAATTTCCGACGCTGTCCGGCGATTTGGCTGGTTTTTCTTTTCTGACAATGCACAGCACTTAATCTAACACTTTCTGATTCTGTACTCAGTGGAAGAGATGTCCAACAGCTCTGACAGTGAATATACGAAGTACTGGATTGATTGGTTTCTCTCCGCAAAGGGAAACGAGTATTTTTGTGAAGTGGATGACGAATACATACTTGATCGATTCAATCTGACTGGATTAAATACAGAAGTTCAGCACTATGTTCAGGCTCTTGATATGATAACTGATTCTCTGGGTAAGTGAAAAACAGTACATTGATGAATAATTTCACAAAAAAAAATATCTAGTACGTTGAGTTTTGTCTATGATTCATGTTGTTTTATTTTAAACTTCTTAGAAGAGGAATTGGATGATGAAATGCGTGAACTAGTAGAAAAATCAGCACGCCATTTGTACGGTCTTATACATGCACGCTTCATAATTACTGGTCGTGGCTTATCGAAAATGGTAACTCATTCCTTGCTTTCTTCATCCTTCTTACTCTACCCGTTCATTCTGGTTTATTCATTTCCATGTCTTACTTTAATATGAAATAATTAGTAACTATAAATACACACAAAAAGCACACGCATTTATGTGTATATGTGTATATATATTAACTGGAACCCCAATTCTATTTTGTTTCACGAAATATTCCAAAGTTGGATAAATACAAAAAGGCCGAATTTGGTCGCTGTCCTCGAGTTCTGTGCCAAGTTCAACCTCTACTTCCCGTCGGCCTATCCGATCAACCGTATGCGAATCCAGTGAAGTTGTATTGTCCGCGATGCGAGGACATTTATAATCCAAAATCGACACGGCACACGAGTATTGACGGAGCCTACTACGGATCTACTTTTCCGCATATGCTTTTTCAAGCATATCCGCACCTATTGCCTCCGAAAAATAACGAGCGATACGTGCCAAAGATATTTGGGTTTTCGATCCATAATATTGCTAGGCAACATCGGTGGCAGGACCGTAAGCGGAACGAGCTGCAGAGGAAGATTACGGCTGGTAACAATAACAATAATAATAACGAGAATCGTAATCAGAATTAAGATGACACTGGAAGTCATGATTGGAGGTTATCAGAAACATTCTTACAAAGATGTGGAAGGGAAGTATGGGGTGAGTCGTTATGCATTATTGCATTATTTATATTTTAATTCGTGAAATATTTGGCAAATCTTCAAGGTGATAAATAGGTCATTTGACGTATCAACGTTGTAAAGAATGCGCTTTCGCACATGTTGTTTGATGATATTAATAAAATTCTCTCTTAGAGTCGGGCAAAGACTATTTAACTTGATTTAATCAAATATCAATGAAAAGAGCTGCGGTAGTTATATCAATGTTGAGAGTGAATTCACAGTTAATAATATGCACCTGATTTATTAACAATGAGCCGAGTTTGCAAGGTCACGTGTTCAAGGTGATGGTAGAAACACTGAATGATACTTTCCCAGCAATCATTAACCGTTGCTGTTAATATTAATTATTAATAATATTGCGAAAACGACTGCAATAAGGAATTCATATGGTAGTTGTTATAAGAACGTGAATGCTGCCTTAAACATGCTTTTTTACATAGCATGAATATAAATATGATAATAATTTTATCAATTCGTGCAAGACGTCAATACAACGGATCTTAATATTCGTAATGTTAACTTGCTCCTCCCCAAACTGTAAAATGTTTCTTCATAATATATATCGTATACACAGTGTTACGCCCTCCCAAAAAATCGCATAACTCAAGAACGATGCAAGATAATTACCGATAAATTATTTCCAATTACAAGTACATTCCTATTAAACCACTCTATATACCGATTCTCCTCATCCCTATAATCCCTATTCCCAATTATAATACAGGGCTTCCCCTTCTTATACTTGTCCGTGAGGGCAAACTCCCACTGTTCACCAATCAACGTCTGCTTGCCCTGCATAAACTCCCAACATTATACCATTCCAATATACATGCTGGCCGAGGGTACATCGTCTTGCCCGAATATTTTGTGTCTCTCGCACCTTAAAAACAAGTGGTTGCGACATGTTACGAAACGGAGAGGCATAGTCAGCATCTGATTATGTGGATGCTAGCACTAAATTGTAAAGCTCTTAGAAAAAAATATTCGCGAATAATATCTTCGCCAATTACTAAATTCTCTAAAACTTGAGTTTGAGAAAATCGTGGCGTTTGGCGGTGTCAACGCGCCACCGACTGATATTGAGACTATGTATCAATTTTTAGAAATAGTATAAAATGCGTTTTTTGTACAATTTAGTTTTTTTTACATACATTTTGGTTTCGATATCCAATATTTTTTTTCTATACTATAATTGTTTTTTATTTTTATAGAAAAAAAATTACATCGACTTACGCGAATAATTCAATTCACGTTCCTGCCAACGTCTTGATGCAATTTCTGTAATCACCGTCTAGGGTATACGAACGGTCAGATAAATGAAACCACCATTCATGTGGTGTTCGTATGGTGAATTGATAGTTTCACTTTGCATGATTTGGATTATTCTTTTAGCAAATTCAATAACATGATTTACACATATTATTTGAGTCGGGTTTGCAGATAAATTCGCGTGATGCACACCTTTCGAGAATTAATATTTAGAAGCTACGCAAAGCGTATAGTTAATGTTGGCGTGACTGCCTTATTTTAGAATACGCCGTTTGGCGATGTCAAGTAACTAATAAGAGCACCCACTGCCTTTTAGTATATTTATGATACAAATGAAAAAGTATATTATGCATTTGTGATAAATAATAACGCGTTTCTTGTTTATTATGCAAAATATTCCGAGGCCATTTCTTTCGTAACACACTGCAAGCTCTATATTAATATTAATATGCAAGTCGTGTCTGATTTAGCCATATTAATATGGTCCCGATGCATTACATTTAGAGAGAAAGAATTGGTGCTCAATTTTTAAAGAAACTGTGCCCTGGAAAGAAAATCGTTGCGAATACGGATAAACATTGGACGATGCGTTTGAGTTAAACAATTATCCTTAATGCCGAAGACTGAATAAATAATAAGAGGGGACCGATCGAGGTCCGTTTTGGACCCACGCTTCTACATCAGGACATATGCGAGAAAAGTCATGAGGGACCTGCTAAACGGCATCGTGAGCCCTATCGACCGAAGAACCATACATCGTAACATCAATGGCCATAAAGGCCCCCCAGCATAATCAAAAAACCAGAAGAATCAACAAATGAATATCTACGGGAGAGGCAGCAGCGGCTGCAATATTTTGGGTCGTCGGTGGGGGTCCTGTTCTCCCACTGAGTCAGTGGTTGATGCGGTGATACCTTCCTGCATCCGTTTGCCTTTTTAAACCCAACTTTCTTCTTGCGCTTCTGCGTAGTATTTCCTCAGCTCCAATAATCTCCAGATTCTCAGAATCAGAGTTCTATTTAAGGAAAGGAATTAATATGTCCACCTTAAATCTTATAACGTCTTCATGTATACTTCCCTATAGGTCGTATTTTCTTTGTGAAATATCGTATCCCTTCTTTTCTGATAACATGGCTTTTGCCTTCTTGATTCCATTCTAACCTGCCACCTACAATACAGTTACATCTTTGAATTGTGTCATTTTCCAATAGTATATATATAAATAATAATTTTTTTTCCGATATGGAATCTTCAAACTCAACCGTTGAGAATATCGCCCACGTTCTGCGCGTACTCCATCGACACACTTGATGCTAAGTTTTACTTTGAACTCTTGTCCTCAATAGAATTAATATCTGATTACGAGTTCAGGCAGAGTTACTGGTGGCGATCGACGTCATTAAAGATGATGTGCCGCCTTTCACGCGAGTTTAGAGACGATGCTTTTGCAAGCCGTATAGAATTGCTGTAGCACTTGGAACAAAAGTAAGCATCAAACTTTTGGCGAAAGTTAGAACGTAGTCAAATGTCTTACTTTTTTCCTTCAGGAACAAGATTGAGCACGCATTTGGTTTGGAGAGGTAATAAGACCATAATTTGTAACTTTCTTTTCAGCCTTTGTTTTTGTGTCGGCCTCTTCCCTTTTTCACAATTACAAGTGTCCAAGGTGTTATTTATTTCGAATAATAAACATGCATAGATAAAGCAGTAGTATATTCCCGGGTTTTATTTGAGTCGAAGTAGTTGCAGAGTACGATTAAATATTATTATTATTATTACACAATAATCTACGCATTTGATTGGACAATTAGCATTCAAATTCTCGTTCATATATCAAGGAACTTTCTATAATTGAAATAAATCGGTACCTCTGATGTAGCCCTCATCAGATTCTCCTTTGAAATTTGTCTATCTTTTGTAATCACCTCTTCCGACTGAATGGGATAATAAATCAAATAAGTGAAAGATGATCATACAAATATGCAAGAGAAACAGAAGCGTTGCTTACCAATTTAATCTCGGGGTCACCGTCATGCGGACCTCGTAGGTTACGCACCGAACTGTAATGCTCCCAGTTATGATATCTAAACATTGTTCACAAAAGCATATCAGAATATTTCTCTTTCGGCAACAACATGAACATTGCTAAAATAGTTCACGCACGCTATATGAAGTGTCTTTCTTTCACGATTCAGCTTTTTAGAACTCTCCTTGCTATCAAAACCATTGCCTGTGATCACATATATTGTTCCCGGCTGATATACTCTTATATTGACTCGTTCTAATTGTGCATATCCTACGAGTTCCATGTTACCACCATAGGTCCCTAGCTTACGCATCTGCACAATATGATCATCGAATCGACCTTCTTCGACAAAATGCTTAAAATGTTTCTTATTAGCTGCCAGATAGTCGCAGACTTCTGAGCGAATCTTTGCATGTTTACCAGGACTTCCATAATGCTGGTCTGAGAGCGCTCTACAAAGGCGTATATGAAGAAGAAGAAGAAGAAGGATTGAGGCTATTGTAATCGTTCATTCTAATGATGAATGCATCGCTTTCACATCCTCAGTCTGTCAGATAATATACCTAAACAAGCAGTTACCGTCACCAGCGATATCCTTAAGATATAAACCGAGTTCTTTGAGTTGTTGTTTCAAGCTTGATAGTCCTAAACCAAAACAGTTTTTTCCTGGGTGCCCATTCTATACAAAATAACGAGACTATTATGAGTGCTAAACTCGTAATAAAACTAGCTCATTTTATCCAAAAAGAAGAACTTTCCATTTCGCCAACTATCTCTAATCAGTCGTTACTTACTCGATTGTTTTTATTACGACGTCCTTGTTTCGTCTGTTCTAAACAAGCAAAACCATCAGCATTCCAATTCAACCTGCTGTCATCCGGCAACTTGTTCCCTAAAAAACCAAAACGCTACCTTGTTCTTGTGTTTCCGACGCTGGTGTTTCCACGGTTTTTGAGGCCACCACTTTCCGTTTGTTTTGCTGCTTGGCTGCTCGTTTCTTGTTCTTTTTAGCCATTTTGTTTTACTTTTGTTACGAAATGAAAAGTTCTGCCTAGTCATGTTTAAGCGTTATTGAGGATGATCGGAATAAATTTATGGTGAATTAGAAGCCGGATTAGAAAATTTTTTGTCCATGTGATTTGTACTTCAGCAGGAGAGCAGCAAGCAGTGAAGAGCTATGGTTTTAGTGCGTTCTAACGTAAAATCATTCATCATGATCGATCAATATGTTTTTGCATACCTGTTTAACGAAACTGAAAAGTAGACTGGTAAATTCTCCGACCAACAGAAGGGATGGGTGGAATGTTGTAATACGCAGATACCGCAGATACCGCAAATACCGCAGATTTCTATCACTTTGTTGGGGTAAAGTCTCGATGTGCTTAATACATAATTTTCTTGCAGTCGAAGCTTTATAAGAACATTTAAATGTACAGCATTCTGTGAAACTATGTACAAACAAACAGTACATCATCTGTATTGTTCAGGCAAAACGGTTAGGCGCATTTTTATTGTTACAAACAGGCGAGCTTTTTAACAGCTTTAATAATAGCAATGATTATTATTTTCAAGTTATACTAGATAGAAATGCCCTACAATATAAAGAAATGGCCGTTCCTTTTCTTGCTCCACCCATCCATTTGCCTATTCACCAGCAACAGAATTATTGCAACAGGTGTTTTTATTGTAAAAAACTTTAACTTTGATTGTTTAATATTTCCTTGATGTGCGCCCTATACCATGAACACCCCATAGTAATTTTTGGACTCGATTTCGTGCATTATTGCGTGCTTTAGGGTCTTTCAAACTTTGATCAAATCTTCGGCGTAATTGCTAAGCTTAACTACGCTCATTTTAAGAGTCAACTTGTATTGAAATTTGTAGCGATTTTCGACATTGTGTTTATAGTAATAGGATGGTTTCTGCGGATTATAGCTATGATAAATAATTTTCAAATCGAAATTGATTATTCAATAAGTATTCCTGTGTATGTGGCTGATTATGAAGAAATCCCTTTGTCGCACACTCTGCCTCTAAATTATTATTGGTTTTAAGCGCATTTGAAAAATAATAATATAAATAATAATACTTACATGAATCGCGTTACGTGCCCATTCTTACAATAGTAGTTACGTCTCAACTTTTTTCTTTCATTCCCATCTCTACAAAGACACGTACTTGTCAGACAGACTTCTCAAATCTCTTACTCGATTAAGCTCCAAGACCTTGCAGGTCGCCCTGGATTTCATTATCGGTCCATGATCGTTCACCTCCGGGATGATCTTCGGATAATTCGGTTACCTGCGGAAAACTTGCTTTAGCGGGGTAAATTTGCTATTCTTGTTCTAGAAAAAAATCTTGAATACGGTTAACAAAGGTTTTCATATAAAATTCGGTTAAGCGGGGTAATTTCTATATGATTAGAAGCAGTTTTTGAAAACTCTTCGTTACAACGGGATATTCGCTATTGTTATAACGGAGTTCGTTATAACGGGGTTACACCTGTATCTCGCTTACAGATCATTTATACATCAGGTCATAATAAGCCGAGTTTCCTTATAAAAGAACTAATTACATATAGCTACCTAACCTTGACTCTCAAAAAATGTCTACGACAGAATTTGAAACTTTTTCTCGTCGAGGTTCCTCAGCTTCTGCTCTAAGCAGTTTCTCAATTGCTGTCACTTCTCAAAGTTCTCGTAGAAGCTCAGTGACTTCCTTATCCGAATTTTGATCAAGATCATCAAGACGCGAATAAGCTGGCGTTTCAAGAGTGCATTGAAATTATCGATGCTAATGTGGAAGAAGTTATTACATGCAAGAGAGAAAAAGTGGTGGAAAGATGGAAATTACAAAATTATTGATGAAGAAAGGTGAGATCATAACATCGATTCCTACTGTTCATGCTAAATTTTATTAGACTCCCTCTGATCCTTATGGAAGATGTAAGCTATAAAAAGTTCGGGAAAAAAAAATGTAAACGCGCAAATGCATCAAGATCTGGGAATTTCAGGATGGAACTGTAGTCATAATTGAATTGCCAAAACGTGATCATGAGGCGGCACATTGTGAACTTACTGGACAGTTCAGAAGTCAAGACCCTCGGGTTGCAACCGGTTATGTCGGTCCACCACTCCCACCATATCCAATGCAAATAATGTGGTCATACTCAACAAGAAATATTTCGTGTTATGTGGAATTTTTATGCACAATAACAATGTAGTTGGTTAAGTGAAGAAAACACTGCATGTATTTTTTCAAATGCTATAATATTTTTAGTATTCACACATGGTTCTCACAATACACATATTTCCCTCTGTGAAAAAACGCTAATGCGCTTTGCTTTATCAATTCCGATAAAATCTGCATGTCTCAACACATGACAGAACCTGTCCATTTCATTTGCGAATTCCAGATTCCTTGCTATTGTATATTTTTACTATGATACGCAGGATATCTTATGCTTGTTAATCAGTTTTATGTGAGATATAAAGGGACTAAGAAGGAAGAATAAAGCACGACCATGTCTATCAGATCCTAGGCCCTTTTAATGACAGTTCTTTCTCTGTTATCATTATTGCTACTGAGAATAACTGAGAAAGCAGTACCCAAGATCTGTTGGGCAATATACTTGTGAACGCGATAGGCTATATCTGAGGGTTCTTCTCAGTATCGCTTCATGGTTGGGCACTGTGTGGTTAACGATTATACAAATCACTCTCGTAATAGCCATCTACAATTATAACTCGCCACGATAACCACATGTCTAGACGAATATTCCCGTACGCACTATCCCTTCTAAGCGCAGAGAAGCATAACTCCGACACAACTTAGTTCAGTGATGTTATAATACTCTTCGCA